TATATATATATATATATATATATATATATATATATATAAACTCTGAATAACCAAGACAAATGCTCTCTTCCTAGGTTCATAATAATATTGAAGTATGTTTCTTCTGCTGTCTGTGTGTGGCTGTATGTGATTGTATCTATAGATGATCTGAATCGGACACATCAGCACTGTGTACTGGCTGGTGACACGGCTAGATTCAGCTCAACTCACAGAGTCGTACAGGTGAGCGTCGCCTCTCCAGTTGTCCTGATCAGACCAGAACCTTCATCACCATTCATGTTAAATCCTCAAACAGTATCTCTGTATCAATGGCTCATAAGTAAAAATCACACTATTATCTGTCATGTTCCTTTAGTGTTGTACAGGAACTCTGGACTACATACAGAAACGCAGCTCAGAGGCCTTGGAGAATTTACACACCGACCCTGAGAAGAACACCAAGAGCCTGAAGTCCCTCCTCCCCTCCACCCTCCAGCACATTGAGGATATCCACAACGAGGTGTGTATTTGAACAAGATTGTGAGTGTGTTTGAAGCAATGTAAAATGTGTACTCATAACATCAAATCCCAAACGCGCGTCTCAGGCCATAACAAATGAGGTTGCTTGGAGGTTTTTTAAAGGTTGTACTTGGCATTAATTTTTCAAACCCCAAACAATAGCTCTTTCAGAGGGCCTAACTATCAGTGCGGCCTTGTGTAAGTCTCTGTTGAACCCCAACTCACCTGGATTACAACTCGGCACCTTAAAACCCCCATCAAAATATAAACTGCTATATTTATATATACACCCCTGCCAGGGGGCAGCAGCTTCCCCGGAGGTTACTAACCTCAACACTCTGACCTGATTGAGGCTATTTTGTTGAAACTGCCCACGAAGGCCTGTGTGTGTTCTTAAATGATGTATTATTTATTATTGAAACTCGTTTTTATCCCAGCATGCTGTTCTAGCAGAGCTCAGTGTCTAGCTCTTGTTAAGTGAGGTGGACTGCATGGAGATTGCGGTAAGCAGCCCCTAATGGGGGATCTGTAAAGGATCTGCACTGTGTAGGATTAATGGAGTGTGTTAGTCCATTGATGTTGATAAAGGTGAAAGTTTACCTGTGTGTTTAGGGTCGGTGCTGGTATATGGAGGTTCAGGAGAGGTTGTTGGGAAAGAGAGCTTTTCTGCTCTCTGTATCTCTCGCTTCTAAGGTTTGGGGTCTGCGTGGTCTTCTGAAAAGGTGTTGAATTGAGGGCTGTTTCACCTAACAAAGAAAATTCTGTCAACATTTGTTTACCCTCATGTTGTTCCAAACCTGTATGACATGCTTTATTTTGTGGAAAGCAAGAAAATGTCCAAGCAACTCTTTCTATACAATGAAAGTAGAAAGTGCTAGGGGCTGTGAACTTTAAAATGGACACAAAAAGTGGTCCATATGACTCGTGTAGGGCTTTCACAAAATCACATTTTCACTACATGATTATCATAGCCAAAATGATTAAAGGGGTCATATGATGCGATTTAAATTTTTCCTTTCTCTTTGGAGTGTTACAAGTTCTTGGTGCATAAGGAAGATCTGTAAAATTGCAAAGACTAGAGTCTCAAATCCAAAGAGATATTCTTTATAAAAGTTAAGAGTCAACCACGCCTACCTAAAACGGCTCGTTCTAACACGTTCCCACATGTCTACGTCACGATGTGGGAAGATTTGCATAACGCCGCCCAAATGTTCACGCAAAGAAAGAAGGTGTAACTTTTATTCTCATTGTTGCCGCCATGCCGTGGAGACGCTGTTTCGTTGTGAAAGCGAAACTACTTTGTCTGACCTTCCAAAAGAGGACGATATCCGCTTCGATGTGGCGATGTGGGAAGATTTGCATAACGCCGCCCAAATGTTCACGCAAAGAAAGAAGGCGTAACTTTTATTCTCATTGTTGCCGCCATTGCGTGGAGACGCTGTTTCATTGTGAAAGCGAAACTACTTTGTCTTTTATGGAGGACTATTTCCTGATCCTGGAAGAGTAGACTACAATACTGGCTATTCTGACTCACAGACTGTAAGTACATTTTTAAAATTTAAAGAATTTGCCACTGATGATTCAAACTCGAGTTTTGGGCAGTGTAGAGTAGCACTTGTTGTTTGTCATTTCTCCGATCACAAATGCAGACATGTTTTTATGTTTACGCGGCGCGATGCAATGCAGCGCATAAAAAGACAGTATAAGTCATTATAATCCGTAATTATGTCCCCACTGGATGCAACAAATGCCTTGTTTATAATGGGTTTTAATGTTTTTGTCTCGTCGCTCCGGCGGGACACGGCATCACAGCCAGCCTGGGTCGTCACATGTGGGTGCCGCAAGCTCGCCGGCCGCCGCTCACTCAAGCCGGCCTCCGCTCACTCTAGCCGCCGGCCTCTGCTCACTCTAGGCCTCCGGCCTCCGCTCATATCCAGATGTGTGCAGCACATTTTATGGAGGACTGTTTCCTGATCCTGGAAGAGTAGACTACAATACTGGCTATTCTGACTCACAGACTGTAAGTACATTTTTAAAATTTAAAGAATTTGCCACTGATGATTCAAACTCGAGTTTTGGGCAGTGTAGAGTAGCACTTGTTGTTTGTCATTTCTCCGATCACAAATGCAGACATGTTTTTATGTTTACGCGGCGCGATGCAACGCAGCGCATAAAAAGACAGTATAAGTCATTATAATCCGTAATTATGTCCCCACTGGATGCAACAAATGCCTTGTTTATAATGGGTTTTAATGTTTTTGTCTCGTCGCTCCGGCGGGGACAAGGCATCACAGTATGGTAAGGGGCGTAACATTTCCATCACACACTGGATTGCTGGCCAATCAGAGCACACCTCACTTTTCAGACCGATGAGCTTTGTAAAAATCTACGCGTTTCAGAAAGGCGGTGCACAGAGGAGAAACAATAGTTTACAGTATGTGGAAAATAATGTGTTTTTGAACCTTCAACCGCATTAACACATTTCATTACACCAAATACACCAAATAATGTTCTTTTTAGCAACATCATATGACCCCTTTAACAAAAACAATATTATCCAGATATCTATAGAAATGAAAAAAAAAGTCAAATCTATCTTGAACTTTTGACTAATGGATCATACACAAAATACAAGTGTAAGGAAGAAGAAGAGAGCGTTTGTAACCATTGATAAACCATACATTGTAACAAAGTCCCTTTATTAAGGCAAGTCATGTCACTCGGCGGCCATCTTTGAAACGCTTCTCGTGCATGCAAGTGTAGCTCATATCTCTTTAAATAGGGAAACATCAAATTCTCCAAAACTGTTCGCAAAGCTTAAAATTAAATTTCATATTTGAAATCACCAATGAAATTGGTCTCATAAATGTTGTTTCTTTTTCTCAAATAGTGTTAAAATAAGCGTATTTTTCAGGCTAGACCAGCCAGTGCGCATATCTCAGAACGCTGACTGTTTCTATAGCAGCCAGGAGTTCTAACGGCAGCTGCAGTGACACGCTGACTTTACCAATTAGTCATTGGCTCTTTTACTCAGAAGGCGGGGCTCCCTTCAATAGAGCGGACATATTGAGCGTTGCATTTTTACCCATTAAAAAACTATACGAGTGACACGTCTTGGGTATTCTATAGTCTTTGGTTGTAACCAGAGCCATTGAGATACTCAGTAACCAACTGTTAAAAAAAAACTTACTGTTGATTCCAAAAAATGAATCCAAAAAACTGGCAGGCTCAGATTTTTAGCTGAGGGTAGAGTGTTACTTTTTGATTGTCTTCTCCTCCGGCATGATTTTATGTGACAGTAGTTCATCTTGTTCATCCTTGTCTTCGTCGTCTTTTTCCATTTTATGGCAGGTGGCAGTCAGTACTGTCTTGGTGCAGTCTTGCAACCTACTATGTTGGAATGTAAACCATTTGCTGACACTTGATTATTTGCGTATTTGTGCATTATTGGCATGATGTAAAATAATGATTTGTGTGAGGATTGTGTCGTTATTTGCTGAAAATCCTGTCCACCATTGCTTTCAAATCTAATTTGCTTATACATGTTCAAGTTTAACATCAGTAATCAGATTTCCATCAATGTATTTTTATGCAAATCTTTTCAAACGCACCAGTTTTGCATAGGCACTAGAAATGTTTGTATTCTTTTATATAGTAGGTGGGTTTCCAGCCATGTAATTTTTTTTATGCAAAACTTTGTGAAATTGAATAAAAAATGTGAAACAGAAACTCCAAGATGCAAATAAAATCGGCCAAAAACAAAAATGTTTACACTTTAACAGATGTTAACTAGATGTGCATCAAAAAGCGCTTTCCTTTAAGAAGTTATGTGACTGAATACTTTAGTTATATGTTCTTACATTTTGCATCCCTGCAATTCTCATTGTCTGAGCTGATGTGCACACACATATATGGCTCTTTATTTATATGTGTGCATATGTGGGTTGACCGAGCAAACAGCACAGACTGGCCTCTATTGATTGAGTCCCAGCAGTGCTGGACTCGAGGGGGATCTGGTGAAATTGATTGGTAGTCCTAACAGTGAGCCTTGTGTGAAAGATATCTAGAAATCTTAACCCACTTGATCTATAAAATGGCACAGTGCTACTGTATATCCGCAGGTCACTGTGATGAGCACCTGACCAGTAGCGTAGCTAACTAGTAGTTACCGCCACGTTCAGCTGGAAATATAGGCAGAAAGACTCTCCACCTGTCACTGAAAGCCTTTTGATTCTGTCTGTTTCCTCTCTCTCTCTTTCTCCCTCCAGCATATGCAGGTGGCATTTAGTCTCAGTACCTCACAGCAGCAGACGGCTTGGCTCTAAATGCCAGTCGCATAGTTTCCAGCTCTGTGCCTGTTGCAGGCCTACTCTGCGGGAAACTGGCCTCCATGTTGGCTCAAAGCTCTCGGCGCTGTATGGGCTTTCAACGCAGAAGGACAGACAGACAATCAGCACGGGGGGGAACGACAGACACAAAAGCGGCTGCTAGCATTTGTAGCCTCCGGCGTCCGTAGAGAGGCTGTCAGCGGTCGGCATTGGTCTGAAGCGATTGTAGGTTTGAACCAACACAAAGTGTAGCATTTCTTTGAAGACGGCCATATGTGAAAGTGAACCCTGGGTGTCTGATCTCAGTCCAACTAAAGATGATCCTGTTCAAGCCAGTTTGAATGCTTATAAACTGATAGCCAACACAGGTATTTATGAAGCAGAATAAGAGAGTCAGGTGTGCGGTTTTATGGTCCATCAGATGAATGACCTGTCCACACCAGTTTTTCAGTGCAACATGATTTAAAAACAAAATACATACACATATTACATTCTACTCTTCATACTAAACATACTACTGAGGTCTCAAAATAAGCAGTAAGAATTTGTTCTGCTATCCAGTTAGGCTCCTACTATTTGCTACTACTTTTTACTTTTTACAATTGTAAATTTGATCTTACCTTTTTTTTCATCTATCATGTAAGAAATGAAACTAGCTATATACTATATATTAGACTTATATCTTTTTAAAATAAATGTATGCTTTTGTTTAGCAAGAATGCTTCAAATTGATCAAAAGTTTCAGTTTTTTGTAACATTCTACGTCTTTACTATTTCAAATAAATGCTATTCTTTTGAATTTTCTATGCATTAAACAGTCCTTAAAAATGTATCACGGTGTTTAGAAGAAAAAAGTGAAGCACAACTATTTTAAACATTAATAGTAATAATTAATCTTTCGTGCGCACTGGATCAGCATATTATAAAGATTTTGAAAATCGCAAAAGTGTTGAAAATTCTGCATTTGTATAATGTATTATATGTACATGTAGTAATAATAATAATGTCTATCTATATATCGGTCTGTCTATATCTATCTATCTATCTATCTATCTATCTATCTATCTATCTATCTATCTATCTATCTATCTATCGATCTATCTATCGATCTATGCATGTATATATATATATATATGTTTATAATTTTTATAATTTTAGAATTATTATAAATCACAAAATCCCTTTTTCCTATATTTTTTACCCCAAACTTTTAAATGATATTGTTTAAATATATTTTTAGCTATAACGTAACTTCGGAAATTCAAAAGCACACATTTTCATAAACACAGTATCTGGCAATATTGTGTCTAAAATATGTTACTCCATATTAATTTCTTGTTTGTTGAACAGTTGTACAAAAACAATCACAACCATGCTGATATTATAAACCGCAATCTCAAAAAGAAAAATAATCACAATTTGTGTACTTTAATGTCATTCAGTTGCTCCAGACCAAACCAGGCAACTGTACAGTGAAATCCAGTAAAGAGAGACCGTGGATGTTCGGGTTGCTGTTCTATTGTTGTGTTTTCGGCGTGTTGTTCAGTTGTAACTCTTAGCTAAGGCGCAGAGGGGCCTGTTGTTTGGAGAATGAATTTTGGAGCAGTGCTTTGTTCAACCGTTGTGGGAGGGCAAATGTGAGGTGCTTACATTTACATGTGGGGCAGACACAGATACACACGTGCACGTGGCTACATTAAGCATCCTTAGGAGGGTTAACTCATCACTTCAAAAGAGTCAAAGATGGGGAGATTCCCAGAGGAGAAAGACTGAGAGCCTGTGGTGGATTCTGTTGCTCCCAGTAGAGAGAGTAAGTGAGAGATTGATGGGATGAATAATGAAAGCAACGAAGTAAAGAACGAAAAGAAGCCGACTGAGGAGAAAAGGAAAGCGTAGTGTGTGTAGGTGAGATGTTTTCGGCGTGTGTGATAAATCTTCACGCCTCTCCTGGGTGTTACGTAGCAGCAGACATAAACAAAGGAAAGGAAACAACAAACAGGAAAACAGGAAATGCAGATGTCATCATCCCCCTTCCTATTGTGATGACACAGTTTTGATCAGCGGCACACAAAAATGCAAAGATGTCGAGTACAAAGCAAGCAGTTTGTTAATGTGTGTGGTTACAGAGGGGTGTGTGTGTGTGATTTGTTCTGCATCCATTGTCCTCTAGGAGTGTGTGCGGCTACCTGCGTTTCCTTGTTAGCGTGACCTTAACGGGGGTGTTTACTTTTGAAAATCACTCCCACCGCCGCGTATAAATGCCCTTCCCCCGTCTCCCCACCTCACTGACTCAGGTGACTAGCACACAGTTCCCACCGCTGCTCTGTTCTGCTGCTAAATTGCCCACTGATGGATGGATAGAGTTTGATAAATGGATGGACGTCTGGATTGCTGTTGTTTCAGACCGTGCTGATATAATATACTACACATAGGCCAGAGTGAGGGATAGTGAAGAATGACTGGAGCACACAACATTTTTGTCCAACAACCACATTTTACAGACTATCAAACACACTTGACCGCTGTTTTTTTTAGTCGTTGTGAAGTAGATGTCAACTGCTAGCAATGGTTTGACCTCTTGTTCAAGGACTGGACTTCATTGGCCTAGTTTTCAAAAGCCTCTCTTGTACAGGAAGGCAAAATGTTTTCACTAGTTTGTTTTCGCTAGCTTTTTAAATTGTTCTTACATTCAGAAACCAATAGTATTAAAGGAACAGCTCACCCAGAAATGAATTTTGTCATCATTTACTCACCCTCATGTCATTCCAAACCTGTGTAAGTTTCTTTCTTATGTTGAACACAAAAGAAGATATTTTGAAGAATTTTGAAGAACCAAACAGTTGTTGGTCCCCATTGACTTCCATAGCAGGGAAAGAAATACTATGGAAGTCAATGGGGGACCATCAATAGTTTGATTACCAGAATTCTTCAAAATATCTTTTTTTATGTTCAAAACAAGAAAGAAACTCATACAGGTTTGGAACGACATGAGCTCGGGTGAGTAAATGATGAGAACATTTTCATTTTGGGGTGATCTCTTTAACTGCCTGAAGCGTATATGGAATGGTGGTTCCAGACATGTGACAATGCAAATGTTTTTTAAATTTTTATTATTGTTACTTTTGAGTGATTTCAATGAGTGAATATTATCCTTATAATTATATTATTGTGATGTCTAAATTCACTTATAGCATTTAAAACAAATGAGTTTTTAGTGGTTTTTTTTATTTACAGAAAATGGCATAAAAATATGTTCTATGGAAATAATTTTTTTTATTGAAAGACAGATATAGACTATTTAATATTTATTAAAATAGACCAGATATAATTTATCAGCAATGACATGGCAATAATTATGATAATAATTTTCAACTGATCATATTAGCCAGAATTTTAATATCAACGTATCCTTCATTTTCTTTAGGTAAGGCCAGTTTATTTATATAGAGTAAAGCATTGTACAGTAAACAATGGTAGTTCAAAGTGTTTTACATAAAAAGGAATAAAAAAAAAATCATAATAGATGCATAAGAAATTAAATATCAATAAGAAGTAAGAAATAAAATTGTATTACATTCAATTTTAATTACAATTTGTTATTAAAAAACATTTTAATGTGCATGGATGACTTTATGTATAACATTTGATCAACAGTTTGTGTAAGTTTAGGGCAGGACTACCTGTTTGTCCAACTAATGCCAGACAAAGATAGCCATTAGTGAAATTTGTTTTACAAAAAAAACATGGATTAATTTGGCAGTTCTTTTATTGTCTCTAGTGTAGAAAGGACATCGTGCAGCTTTAACATGACCCTTTGTGTTGCTCCTTTCAGGTGGAGTTTGAATGGCTGAGGCAATACTGGTTCCAGGGCCGGCGATTTGCTCGATTCTGCAGCTGGTGGACTAAACCCATGGAACAGATGGAGAAAGACTGGAAGGAAATGGAGCAAATGGTAAGAGTGATGGAGTGAACTGTAAGCAGGCCTGCACAGAATCTGCGCCCAGATTGCAGCTGAATTCAGCGTCTGACATTTAGCTCTACATGTGCGTGTTTGTTTACAAAATATTTTGGCTGATTTGATTATGCTTTCAGCTACCAGTACAGTGTTGTAATCACAGCACTGCTTAACACATTTTACACAATTTAAACCAAACAAAACATGTGGTAAATGTGAAACAAGTGTGCAGATGGAGTAAGAGAATAGGAATAGATTTTGAAAATCTGTTTTAACACAATCATAAGACCTAGTCCTATTTTTTACCTGCTTACCTGTCATGAAAAAAAAAAGTTTAAATTTTTTTTATTGTGTATATATAATTAATATTTGTTTTCTAGCAGTGTAATTATTTGGCTCTCTGTTGCAATCTTTGAAGAACATGAAGACGCATTGTAGTTTTGTCCTTTATATTTTAGTTGTGGTGGCTTAATACGAGGTATATTCCACATAGGTATTGTCTATGTGGTGCTCTGAGTAAAAAATAATCTTTAGGTATCCTAGATAAACCTATGAGGTTGCATTTTCCACTGAGGCATGCAGCTTGTTTGTTTTCTGTAGTAGTTTGTATTTCTAGATGGCTGAATTGCTCACGTCACATCAGTGCAGTTCAGAAAATTAGATTTGATTTAAACCACATAGGCCTAATGCTGCAACACTGCCTGTCCCAATAGTAACCCTTCTGCCCACAGATGACCCCAGTATGCAGAGCGGCATCCGGGCTCTCTGTACTGCAGGATGCAGAGGTTTTATAAATCTTGACGATCACAGCTGATCAGTATTGTCTGTTGGACACATGTTTGATCCATATGTGTGTGTAGATGTGTTCAGCACACAGCTCACAGCTCTGCTTTCAGAGCTGTAGTCACTTTCAGTAGGGGGCACTGTTGTATCATTATATTCTGATTTCCTCTCACTGCCTCTTGCTCTTTGAGCAGTAATCACATCTAATGTGCTTCTGGGGCTAAGGACCGCTCTTGTGCTAGCCGCTCTGTGTGTGTGTGTGTGTGTGTATGAAGGGGTCAGACAGTCTCACTGTGAGACACTAGTCTCCCTCTGTCAAGAAACACAATTTAGAAGTGCTGATATCCACCCGTATATTAAAACATTTTAGATATGCATAATGGGTTAAATTGTAAACACACTTAGCATTTTGTTTTAGTTAATATTATGTAAGTGCCGTAGTTTTTTGTGTCAATGTTAAATAATTATTTTCTTTATATTAGTATTGTGCGTATATGTAAATAATACAGTAAGATAAAAAGAGAATCTTTCATTTATGAAATTATATGATGTATTGTTTTGACCATATAAATCATTTTAAAAAGGATAAATACAAAGGTCAAGGAGAAAAAAATATATATATTTTGCTGCATCCATTCATCTAGCCATTTTTGACTATTTTTCTTTTTGAAAATTCATCAAATTTCTGCATTTTATTAGTTAAACAAATATTAAATTTGTAGGATTGTTAGAGCTTGAATAAATAGCTCATGAATGTGAAAGCACTTAGAAAATAAATATTCATTTGAATTCCTAATATCTGATATTTCCATGGCTGATTTAAATTCATTTAAATATGATTTCAACAGACAGTCATGGCATTTACCAGAGACATGTGTTCATCTAGATTCTTGGGAATTGTCTCGTTGGCCTTCCTGCACTCTTCTTGATTTTTCCGCAGTCCAAGCAGGTCCGGGGTTGGCTGGTCCGTGTGTTTCTCCGTGTGTTCACCCTCTTCCTGCTGTTTATTAAAACCGCTCCTCTCCCATGGGGGTTTCTCTCTTTCGTTTTCCTTCTTTCTCTTTTCTTGTGTCTCCCTCTCTTGCTCTTCAGGCTGTTGTGATGCAAATTTTCACCCCTCCATTTGAATGACATCCTGATAAAACAACTCTCTCTCTCTCTCGCTCTTTCTGTGGCTGTC